AATGGGAACAGGATGGTTCTGACCTGGATGTAAGACAAAAAAGTTGTTGCTGAGAGAATAATGAAGTACGGAGACAGGCTGCCAAGAGAAGCTATGGAGTCTCTGTTGTTGGAGGTTTTCAAGATCTGGCTGTACAAAGCCCTTAACAACCTGACTTGAATTCAGAGTTGACCATGTTTTGAGTAGGACGTTAAGCTAGAAACCTCCTGAGATCCCTTCAAATCTGAATCACTGTATGAATCAAGAGATCTCCTTATGTCTTTCCGAAATTGGTCTATATGGCTTTCCCAGATTAAAAAGTCTTAGAAATGCAGGTTGTGTAACGCTCATGAAATGTTGATCTCAAACTGTATTTCACTTTTTTTTTCCTGATAGCATTCAGTACATCTCAGCATGGATCATGCTGAATTCACATTTGGAGCTACTCATGGCAGATGTCCTTCATGCATGTACATACTGTTTACTGTACATGCATGAAAAGAAATAGTAGTGCTCTTGTAAAGGGCCTTCTCTTTATTATTTTGAAGGAGCTGCTCTCTGTGAGGGAATACTGGTTTTACACAGCATAGTACTGTGAGGTGCCCTCCTTGTGAGGTTGTACTTGTTAATCTCTAGTTTATCAGAGAATGGAAGCTAACAACCAATTGTTGCATTTTCTTTGTTTATGCTGTGTTGGTTTAACTGCATGGTGCTAAGCCTCCATTGGTGGTATCTTTCTTGGATACTCTTACTACTAACTTCATATGTGTACTAACTTCACATCTGCTCCTCCTTTTGTAAGTCCTTGGTGGTGCGCTTCATGGTGGCCCATTGAACTTCTGCACAGTGTGGTTTATGTGAGAAACCCTGATCAGAACAAACAGCATCTGGTGCAGGGAAGGGTAATGCTGAGTGCATCCCAGAGCATCAGTTTAGCAGGAGCACGTTTTACAAATTAATATTCTTAGAGCAGATTTTCTCGAGGCTTTTCTGTTAGTCTCCCCTACCTGATAACAGTTATTTTATGTGTATTGTGGCAGAAGTGGCCATTCCTTAAGTTCTTGTAGGATTTTTTCTTTCTTTGATTTAGAATTCTTTAGGAAAAGATTGTTCTGTGCAAACAAAGGAGATAGCCCAGCTGGCTAGATGTGGAGAGTAAGGTATTAACTATTGTGAATATAACAATACTTCAGGTATTAGGGTGATAACACTTCAATTTCAACCTTGTAAAAATAATACCACTGTGAAGATGCTGATAAACCTGAGACCTTTTCATGCCTGAGAATTGCTATAACGTTAAAGGGCTGAAGACACCCCTGACATTTGTGCTAGCGGTGTTATGAGCTTACTGTATAAAATGGTGTTTATGAGCCCATGTGCAGGTTTACAGGAATAAAAACCTACAGAAATGTCATGAGCCAGATGGTAGCATACATCCCTTTAGAAAATATGTTCTGCTAATGGTAAGTTATTGACAGCATGTACCCCAAAGAGGGACAGGTTTGTAGTTTTCCTTGAACTGTGATTATTTCTAGTGCTGTTAAAGGTGTCATAAGGTAGGATTTTTGCTGTTATATGAGTTTTCAAGGGCTAAAATTTCAAATACTGTTTTGGATGCTTTATAAACTGCTTTTGAGGAAAGTGGAGGCAGTTAGTGAATTTTTTTATTTTATAAGTTTATTAAAGAGGAGTAAGGAGTACAGATTACAGAAACAATAGAAATGCAGCCCACGACTTTCATGCATGGACTGCTTTCCAGATTAGTGTTACATAGCTTACAAAATACATAACTCTGTTTTTGGTCTCTTTTGACCGAGTAAGGGGAAATGGACTTTTCTATAAAAGCCCTGTAGAGCACACACATGTCTGGAGCCACAACAGTTCCTCAGAAAACTACTTGTGCTACTTGGCCCCATATAAGATTCGTGATCACAGCAAGGAGTTGGCGGCAATACTCAAAGCTCATTGACTGCCTGCCTGCAGGCGCATGTTAAGGGAAATGATATTTCATGGGAATGACAGTGACAAGCTACTAAAAGCCTCATAAGAAAGGACCTTTCTGTGCCCTGCAGTAGAGTTGACCCAATAAAATATTTACTGGTATAATAAATCTTAGCAGTGGCATCAGGTTTTCAAGTTTTGTTCCAAAGTGAAAAAAGTAGTGTTGGTAGTAAGACTAGCTTAGGACTTTGTTGAAAGAGGAAAAACTGAAACCTCTTAACCTACCTTTATTATTCCCTCTAATTTTATAGGTAAACATGACCTTGTCCACTCTTCTTGCATTCTTGTTTTATACTATCTAACCACTAAGTTTCGCAAGCTTGCTCTGTGTAAACTTGTCGTGGTTCAAGCCCAGCCGGCAA